GCATTTGCCTATCGACTTGGGATCTGACGAGATGTTGCAGTAGCTTTCACACTAAGTGCATCCATATGAAGTTAGGTTCTCAATTCACCCGTCCTCTTTTCACAATCAGTATTGAATCAGAGACTCCAAACTCTGCAGTATGATGAATTTCAGGTGAAAGTCACAGTCCACAGAATTGAGCTTGTGCATATTTTGTCCTGTGTAATATAACTATAGATGTGTTTTTATTTCAAAACATGACACATACAAGATGGAAAAGATCTTAACTTATTAGTAGTAGTTCATAAAGATTGACTATCAGTCAGTAGGACTACGAAATTATAGCCTGCACACAGGATACACTACTATATTTACAGCATGACCATGCTAAAAAAAGATGAAGGAACCAAGATAATTCACTGGTCTTTGCTAAAGAGCATTTCACACACACATTCACATACGCACACACACAGACACACACACACACACAGTTACACAAGCTCGAAAAAGATGAAGGACGTCAATATCAGGCTATGGTCTTTGCTCAAGAGCATTTCACACAGCCATCCACCCCACCCACCCATCCACAAAAAACAAGAAAGGTGATAAGAGCAATTAAGGCAACTTAAAGAATATGGAAATCAAACTCTGCCAATCAAATGATCACCAATGAATATGGATTATAAACATGACCAATAATTTCAAATATTGATAGGGAATCGAGTGATTTGCATCAGATAGTTACGTATGGTATGGTATGGTCATAGTTCTGAGTTATATGTAAACGATCCTTTAAATCATAGTTCTTAAGGCTGAAATGAACTACACCCTTATCCAACAACTTACTAAGATGGATGTGAATTGTAGGATACATATGCAAGAAATGTATGACGAGTGTTTTAAATTAAATATGCATTGTATAATTGAGTACATGTCAATACATAATTGAGTACGTCTGAATAAATATATGCATATATGAAAAGAGTGTCCAAGAAGTTTCGCGTAAATGAGTACGACACGTATCAGGTACTGGTACAACTCCATATAGAAGTACTCAGATAACATAGCATCTCGTTGTTCTTCAAAGTCTAAAAGGACAACACAAGAAACTATCAGACTTGGGATTCAAATAAATGAAGTTTTGAGTGATTAGAACTCCATAATTAATATGAGTAGGAAAAAATATGGATATGGTAATTATAGACCTAGAAAAAGTAGAACTTCTTATAAAAAGTACACCAAATATGATCTTATAGTTATTATTAATTCAAAGGTTACAAAAATATTTTGAAGGTCTAGGATGACTATACGAGGAACTATACAAGTATTCAAGAATTTAAGTGAACTTTTTCTTTTATCAATATTACAACATCAAGAAAGATATCTACAAAATCAAGAAATTCAAAAGAAAGGAAAATAAAATAAATAATTATAGAGTATTTCAAGAAATTCAAAAACTTGACAAGGATACAATCAAAGCACCACTTTATTTTCTTCTAAAAGATTAGTAGAGAACAAGGTTTCATGCTTTCTTAAATCTTACAACCCAAATTTTTTTTTCAAATCTTCCAGATAAAAGTAGCACGGTATGTAACATTACTGGAACAAAAAAAAAAATACAAAGCAACAATGTAATCAAATATTCCTGTTTTACATATCATTTTTGTGTTTCTCAAGAAACATATTTAGAAATTTCCAAATTCTAAAACTGTTCTATATTAAGAGCCAAAGTCTACGAAAATTAAAGCAAAAAGAATTAGAACAAGAAATTTCTAGTTCAAAGATTACAACAAAATGACACTGTTTAAAAAAACAATAATCTCCATAAGAAGCAAAAATAGCTGAAAAGTCAAATGAAAATTTGTACGGGCCCTAGAACTAATGAAGTTGAACAAAATCTAGTACTCCACATGACATAATTTTATAACAGAAATAAGCATAAACTGGTAGAACTAGTGTTAAATTTTACATGACAAAAGCAGTGAGTGATATCCAATGATAATAAGCTTAAGGCGATAGCTGATGATATGAAGATATCTAAAGTGCATGCCCTCACGATGCAACTTAGTATTAAGTGCTACTGCATACTGATAAAATGGTGTTACACACTGCGAATGAATGCAGAAAGAATGGATGACGGTACCGGTTAATACAGAACTACATAGTAAATATTTAGTGCAAAAGTGATGGACAACGATGGATGAAGTTCGAGAAATAAAAGTTTGATGTGTAAAAACTATTTTAGACACACGATTAACAAGCCAAGATAGATAAATGCAGAGGTCGAATAGGGGGAAGTAAAGTGCAAAATAGCCCGTATATATCCGATCTGATCTACAATAGTAACCCAAAACAAATGCGAATATGGTTTCACATTTTTGGTTGGATACAAATATCGATTCAATTTTCGGATACGGTCCGACTATTTAAATTCAGATATGGATTAGATATAGATTTAGATATGAATTCGGACACCGACCCGGTTACAGATATGAATATTATTAATTTTTTTATTATCTTGATATCAATTGCATGCGATTTAAAATGTCGTCATATGTTTTTGGTTTACTAGATCATGCTTTTACAGAGGTAACAATTATACATTTTAAACTTATTTATAGTCAATTTTAAGTTATACTATAATTTAATTTATTTTTTTATCAATGGATATAATAAAATGGGAGGCCTAGAAGAAAAATTTGCAGCACTTTATGTTGTAATTCTTGTCTCGTACTTTTTTCTAATCAATTGCTTGCAATTCTTAGTTTTGTGAGGTTTGCTTAGGTTAGTATGGTTGAAATTTCATGAGATCTTACTGTCCAAAACAAATTGTTTAACTGATAACTTTTATTGTCCAATTAACATGATATTTTATGTTATCCGATTGATATCCGAATCATATCCGTTTTCCAAATATTTGATTTGCATATGTGATGGTATCCACATCCGCTTCCCTAATATCCAAACCATATTTGTTTCCAATTGTGGATATGGATGACTTTTTCTTATCGAAGAATACTTATATCTGTATCCATGTCTGTTTTTTAGGAAGTGGATATGGATATGATAAGTGTCATATCCAAATCGAGTTCACCCCTAAGAGAAAATCATCAATATCAAGTTCAAATGACAAACAATATGAAGGCAGAAAATGGTCATTGATACGAAATTTTTTGGATAATAACGTTTAACAACAATATTAAGTGCTTGCGAGACTAATGTAGGGGGTAATATGTGCAACTATAAGAATGGAACGAAAAGCGAGCTAAGCACATCACTTTTGTTTTTCAAGAAATTTCAAATCAATCTTTAAACTCTAAGACAAAAATATTTTATAACTACAATATTACTATAATTAAAAAGCAAAATGAAAAAAAGGTATAGTTTTGGATTCAAAATTCCACAAATTTCTAAAATTCCAAAAAGCTCTAAGGTTGAATTGTGTTTTCTTGAAATAGAGATAAGATTTCATTACTAGGAAAATTTTAAAAAAATGATAGACCATCTTTAAAAAACATCACATTATACAACAACTACAAAGCCTTTTATCCCTAACGCTTAGGGTCAGCTACATGAATCCTATTCTTTCAGTTTCGTTCGATATTCGGACATTTCCTCTATTAACTATTATCATATCCTTTTATCCCTTTTAATTGCTTCTATCCAAGTTTCCTTAGGTCTACCTCTAGATTTTTTTCCCCATTAACTATAATATTATCATTTTTCGTAACCGATACGTTAAGAGTTCTCCATTGTACACGACCAAACCACCTTAGTCGATTCTCTCTCATTTTATCCTCAATAGGAACACATCACATTATACTACAAAGTAAAAAAAAGGCAATCTATTTACAAGTTTGATAAATTATAACCTACAGAACATAAGTTTGTTGAGAATAAAAAGAATATGGATAACATTAAAAATTTTGATACTTGAGAATTAAAAAGTTAGGAAGTATTTTGATAAAATTCAGAACTGCAAAACTGGAAAGAAAAACAAAGAGCAAAAACTATATTTGGTTTATAAAATTTTCTAATCCATTAGAGAAAATTTCAACCAAGATATCAAAATCTTTTTGATAAAAATGTCATATTACTGTAATTTAAAAAGTACACTAAAAATAAAGCTTAGACTTCAAAAAATCCCACAAACTTCTCAAAATTCCAGAAAGCTCTTGGAAAATTTGTGTAGAAAGAGATAGTACTAGGAAATTTAATTAAAACAGTTAACGAAATAATTATATATAGTTTCAAAAGTTTAGCTATAATTTTGTGGCAAGATGAAAAATTAAATTAAAAAATTTTACAGAGTAATTTAATAGGTCCCACATTTTCATAAGCATAGGACACAAGAAAATAATTTCACATACTTTTAGATTCAGAGAAGAAACTTCAGATTCATATTATCGAAGAGAATAGGCAAGTTCAAATGTCAATACCTCAATATTAAATTAGAGTCAATCCGGTTCTAACCTGAGGTTATAGGGAAGAGTTGAGGAAGCCCCTTGGTACAAGCTCAAGGGAGTGCTAATAAGTGAACATATACAACCTCAATATATGCTTACACTGAACAAACTGCAATAAGGATAACCCAAAAAGTGCACATTATGATAAGAAATTAATATTTAGAGTGCACGAGATGCATAAATGAGAGTAGAATTGATGTGCCCATTGTATCAAATTCAGATTAAGCGTACCTCTAAGTAAGTCCAACTGGATGTAAGATGTCACCCAAAAGACTGTAGAGTAACAAGCCCAGAAAAGAGGAGCTCACAGAAGGTAAGCATCTAAAGTGCATGTGAATCACTAACGGGTAATGATAGTAAAATTAATGTGGCACAAGGTATCAATTAGTCAATTAAGGAGATCCACAGTTAGTTAAGTAGTTAGTGGTGGCTAATTAAGCTTGATCGCAAATCGATTCGACAAATTTCAATGAGTAAGATAAGTAAAATATACTGCCGCAAGTCTAAGCAATTGAATATGCCAGAATGAGGTTCAGAAAATATCTTATGATAGTGATAAGATGGAAATATATAATCTCATAATATAACTTAGAATAACTGAGAGGAAACTTATGTAGTGAAACCCTTAGTATCAAATTTTGGTGGGTAATGATAAGCAGGAAATATATAATCTCAATAACCTTAAGGGCTTAGATGGGGCTACAGGATCTAGATCAATATTGAAGCACGTGCAAAAATTGGGGCATGAATAAAATTATGAAAGCCCTCTACAAGTCTCCGGATCAACAACTAGGTCCGTGCAAAAATTGGGGCATGAATAAAATTATGAAAGCCCTCTACAAGTCTCCGGATCAACAACTAGGTCGCGGATAAATATCTGTGAGACTCTAGAATTGGCATCAGTTTCAGTTAGTAACTGAAAGTAGGCACTATAGACTATCTAGAAATCTATAAGAAATGATCTGATGTTGGATCACGTTAAGCTGTATTTTAAACATTCATAAAACGATATATAGATGAAACACATTTGCAAGTTTCCGGTGAGTATGAATAGGGCAACAGAATGTATCAACATGCCTAACGAGACTAATATTATTGAGGACTGACTTCTCAAATGTGTGAGATCACCCGAGGGTAGAATTAATGAAGCACTTGATATCAGTTCACATAACTTGGGAAACCGATAACATGTGACAACTTGAGTTGATGCAAGTTATGATGATTAATGAGAAGTATGTAATATACAAGTCAATTTTGATGCTTTAAAGAAATACATTATTTAGAACATAATTATAGAAGACCTTTCTCATAAATAAAAGGAACAAGTCAAAAACCAAGTTAAAAACGAACTCCATAACTAAAAGGAACAAGATAAAAACACCATATTTTGTTCCAGTTTTTCAAAATTATTGAAATCAATTGGAAATTTCATAGATCAACAAGTTTTAAAAAATTCTAAAAAAATTAATAATTAATAAATGAAAAAAATTACTTTCAAAAATTAAAAAGACAAGACTTCAATTGAAATTTTAAGAGATGACTGTTCTTTCACAGAATTTTTTTGGAACTTCGAAAACGTTAAGGTAGTGCTTGAAGCAATAACATAAAAGGCCTACGAGGAACCTTAAAACAAAATGATACACCAAATAATATAGAGTTTTAAAATTCTCATAAAGATTTTACTATTTTGAAAATTTGAGAAAACCATATGGGTACTTTGATTCAAAAAAATTAGAAACCTTTTATAAAGTGTAGTGTATATTTATTACTAGAAAAAAAATAAAAATGAAACAAACCAGGTATTTATAGTTTCAAATTTTGAGTTATGTATGTGTGTGTGTGTGTGTGTGTGTGGAAAAAGAGTGTTAAGTTAAAACTAAGAAAATACACCAACCAGTTTAACAATTCAAAATTTGTCAAAAATATTACATTTATTTGAAAGTAAATAAAACATATACAAACCTCAGATTAAATTTCAAAATTTCAAAATTCACAAAACAAGTCAGGAACATTGATACTATTTCCTAAAAAATTTGAAACTATTTGATAATGGTAACACAAACTATTTTATAAGTTCGATATGGTTGCTGAAAATAACAGGTAGTAGAAAAAGAAATACCAAAGATCAAAAGAGTATTAAAAACAATTAAATAATTTCAAATTCAAGAACTTAGGGATTTAAAAAAGATTATATCGATCATAAATGAATAAATGAGTAAATGACTGGAAATACAAATTTTGAAACATTTAAAGGGAAAATCAGATGTAATTTGCAAATCTGAAATGTTAAAGGACATTTTTTTTCTTTTTGAGAAAAAAATCCTTGAGAAAAAGATGAAATTCTACAAGGCAATTTAAAAGAATATATTAATGGCAAAATTTTATAAGCCAAAGGATGCCATAGAAGATGTCATAGGACGGGGGATTGGAAAAGTCAACTTGTATCAAGCTTTCTTATAATTAGTAACAAGTAACCAATACACTTCTCCCAGCAGGCCCATAGAAGGATTGGCAATATAAAAAGAATCTATCAATGGCAAAATTTTATAAGCCAAAGGATGTTATACAAGATGTCATAGGACAATAGTATTGGAAAAGTCACTTGTATCAAGCTTTCTTATAATTATTACTAAGTAACCAATACACTTCTCCCAGTAGGCCTATAGAAGGAAATTGATAAATTTAGAGGTACATAAAATGCAGGTCATCTATTCGAGATAGAAGATTTAATGAAGCTCAACAAACAGGTTTTGTTAAGAAACGATACGTACGGAACATACTTTTCTATTAAGTTCAAAATATTGGTCGATAATGGACACAATCTCAACAAGCCTAAACAAGCCTAAAAAGATAGTTGGTGACACAGAATAAATATCTCATATGCATGCATCAAATTAGTAAAGGTCATAAGTGAACCAAAAATTGGAAAGGTTCATGAGCATAAATTTGGAGAGGTAACCAGTCCATAGACAAAGAGATGGATGGTAATTTTGAATGAAGATTAAAATTGATCTCAACAAGCCTAAAGAGATAGCCGGTGAGACAGAATAAACATCTTATATGAACGCATCAAATTCACGGAAGGTCATCAATGAAAATCAGAAATATAATCAGTTAATATACACAGCAAATAGGTGCAAAGGAGATTGATGGTAATATTGAATCAAAGATTAAAATTGTCCTGCAAATAGCCCAAAACATTTTACACAGTTAAGAATTTGTACCAAGCTTCTCAGTTCAAGATATTGGTTGATAATATACGATCTCAACAAACATAAAGAGATAGCTGGTGATACTGAATAAGTACCTCATATTTAAAAAAGGTAATCAGTCAATATACAAAAGATGGATGGTAATATGTAACCAAGATTAAAACTGATCTCAACAAGCCTAAAGAGATGGCTGGTGAAACAGAAGAAATATCTCATATGAACCTTATATTGGAAAAATAATCAGTCAATATACACTGCCAATAGGTGCAAAGGAAATGGATAATAATATTGAAACAAGATTAAAATTATCCTGGGAATAACCCGGAACTATTTTGAAATGAGATTAAAATTCTCCAGGAATAAGTATTTCATATATGGAAAGGTAATCAGTCAAAATACAAAAGATGGATGGTAATATTACCTTTCCAAAATAAATATTTGTCGAACACAAGGGTCATAAAATAAAAAATAAAAACATGTTATAATGATGTTTGAAATTATGTAGAACTTACTTTAAAACTTCAAACCATTGAAAAGTTCTCAAGATTAAGACTTTCGGAATATGATAAAATAGTGTCAAAATGAAAAATATATTTGAAAAGTAAGTACAGTCATGGCACTAAGTTCACATGAACAAAGCCCAGAGCATAAGAAGCAACTAAGTAGAAATAAACAAAACAATACAAAACAAAATCAAATTACAGCATTTCCAAAGCATAAATGTCTCAATACGACATGCTTGAAAAACTCGAGTTATAAAAACTTGAGAAGTTTTAGAAATTGGGAAGTTTGAAAATCATTTGAATATTAAAGCAAAATTTTAAAAATCATGGTAAAGGAACCATTTTGAGATTAGAAAATCGAAAATATAGTAAAATGTAATGAAGATCTGAAATTTTGAAAATGAAGAAAAAAAGATCTTTGAATACTTGAAAGCTTTACAAACATGAAAACATGTGAAAAACTTGAGTTATAAATTTTTTAAAAGATTAAGAAATGGGAAAGTTTGAAATTAAAAATTAAAGTGAAATGTAATTTATAGAACTAATTGATATTAAAATGTTAAAAAAAATAGTAACTTACCGATTTGAAATGAAAATTTTTAAATATATAGTAATCGGTAAAAAAATATCATAAAATAACACTCTGAGGTAAGGCGAATCGTTTGAATTTTTCTTTAAAGGGTTGAAAAGTACAAAATTACAGTAAAAAATCTTCCAAAACAAATATTTATAAAATCCAAGGCTAATAAAATAACAATAAAAATATGTGAAATGGTGTTTGAATACATGTAAATAATATTTAAAACTTAGAACTATTGAGAACTTTAAAAGATTAAGACTTTTAGAATATGAGAACAAAGCATAATACTGTTAAAGTGAAAAATAGATTTGAAAACTTGAAAGCATGAAAAGCTGAAAACTCAAAGAAACTAGAGTTATAAAAACTTTGAAAAGTTAGAGAATTTGAAAAGGTTGAAAATCATTTGAAAATTAAAGCGAAATTTTAAAACTATGGTAAATGAACAATTTCAGATTAAAATAATCAAAAATTATAGGAAATGTCATTAAGGTCAGAAAACTTGAAAGTGAAAAAAGATCTTTGAAAACTTAAAAGCTTTAAAACTGTGAAACAGTTTGATAAACTTGAGTTCTGAAATTTTGAAAAGTTAAAGAAATTGGAAGTGAAACGTAAGTTAATACCAATTTGAGATGAAAATATTCAAATATATAGCAAAACGTAACCTAAATTAATAACGTCATTAACGCGAATTATTTGAAAAAACTTCTTAAAAGGTTTGAAAATTACATAAATATAGTAAATTTTTTTCAAAAATAAACATTAATATAGTAGAATCCAAGGATAATTAAATAAAAATAAAAACATGTGAAAATGG